CTGCTACCTGCTTGCCTTTTTCTCTCCACAGATGCCGAAAGGGCTTTTGACTGAGTTTCGTGGGATTTCCTGTTTGCAGCTTTGAAACATATTGGTCTTGGTGATCACATGTTGTCTTGGATCTCGGCTGTTTACGCGGATCCGACTGCCTGCGCTAATGTCAACGGAGTCCTCTCTGATCCTTGTCCTATCTCAAATGGAACCAGACAGGGCTGCCCCCTTTCCCCTCTTCTCTTCCTTGTCCCTAGAGCCTTTCCTTTGGCATGTTCGGAATAATGTAGATGTGTCCAGGATAAAAGTGGGAAATACAGAATATAAGGTTTCTGCATATGTGGATGACTTGATGTTCTCCCTCACCAATCCAGCACTCTCCTTACCTAATCTCATTTAGGAATTCTCGATATATGGTGAATTGTCTAACCTGAAGATCAACTTTAGCAAACCGGCTGCCATGGGAATTTCACTCCCGGATCCATTCTCTGCGACATAGATTTTAATTTCCAGTGGACCACTTTGAAATACTTGGGCACATTAATACCTTCGGGTGTGAAAGATACCTTTGCCTGCAATTTTCCCCCTCTTTTATCACAGGTCCGTACCCTCCTGTCCAAATGTCAATTCATTTTGTTTTCCTGGTTTGGACGCTGTAACATACTTAAAATGTTTATTCTGCCGAAGTTTTTATATCCATTTCAAGCCCTTCCAATATATACATATAACCCTGACAGGTTCTTTCGTCAAGCCAATTCATTAATGATGAAGCCAATCTGGGCCAATCGCCATCCTCGCTTACGTTGCACCCTTTTGACTCTGCCTAAATCCTTGGGGGGCCCTGATTTATGGAAATATTTTATGGCAGATCATCTGGTCCGCTTAGTCGACTGGTAGAGACACTCATCCTTCAAACAATGGGTGATCTTAGAGGAATCTCTGTCACCGTGTCTTCTCTCTAGAGCAGCTTGGTGTTATCCATCTGTCCCTTCTACACCTAAAGCTCGCCTCCTCTGCTTGGCACTACCCTATCGGATTGTGCTAAAGCTTTTTGGAGAGGTTTCCCCCCTCTACCCAGTTATCGATAACCCTGATTTCCCCCCAGGAGTTTTGACAGGCCCTTTTCGATCCCTACTCGCCAAGCAACTCTTTCAAGTTTCCCATTTCCTCCCTGATGGATTGTGGCCTTCTGTCACATCCCTTACCACATCAAATGGCGTGTTCGGTTTAGATAATTGGAAAGCCATTCATTTGAGACACTTCCTACTTTCTTTGCCACCAGTAACGAACTTTAAAAGCTCGCTTCCATTTTTTGAACGACTCTGACTCCCAGGGTCCGATTAGGCACACTCTCTCTGCAATATACATTATCCTTTCTTCCTCAACATCTCAGAAGCCTGCATTTTTGATACGTTGGGAACAAGAGCTCCGGACCACATTCTCAGATGCACAATGTCGGAACATTATTCATGTTACCCTGCACTTTTCCATCTGCACAAAACATCAGGAAACCAATTATAAGGTCCTTACCAGATTGTACCGAACTCCGGCACTTTTACACAGAATCTACCGCGAGGTTGCCGATGTTTGCTAGAGATGTAACTCTGAAGAGGACACCCTACTATTTTCTGGACCTGCCCAGCTTTATCACAATTTTGGTCTGCAGTCCGGACTATCATATGGAAATTCACAAAATCTGATATACCTGAGGACCCATCTATTTTCCTGTTACATAACACACATATGTCCAGGAAAGCTTACTCACGATCTGTGGTTCGCCATTTATTGGATGCTGCTAAAGCCTGTATTCCTAGCCTCTGGCCGAGCCCTCCACTTCTACAGTGACTATGTGAATACGCAGCATAGGAGGTGATCAGAGAAATGGAAGACCTGATTTTGTCCTCCCAAAATAGACATGAGCGATATCGCTGGTCTACAAGGAGAAAGCCTCGGAAATTAAAGTAGCCAAATTTTACCATAATTGGGTCACTATAAAAGAAAAATTAAGTCCTGAGTATTAATTGGCTTCAGTTTCCAAGATGCAGCTTCAGGTCAAAATTGCATCAAAATAATTCAAAATTACGAGAGGGACGTATCTCGTAATTTTGATTTATTATGATTTTCATTTATTATGCTCCATAACTTTTCTGCAAAATGTGATATAGCAATGAGAATGGTGCCACACCAATTATAAATGTATATTTTTATTGATACCAATAACATACAGTGAGGAAAATAATTATTTGATACCCTGCAGATTTTGTAAGTTTGCCCACTTACAAAGAAATGAAAGGTCTATCATTTTTATCATAGGTGTATTTTAAATGATAGAGACAGAAAATCCTGAAAAAAACACATGATACAAATGTTATAAATTGAGTTGCAGTTCAGTGAGTAAAATAAGTATTTCCATTCATTATTGGTTTTTAATTTCATTTTTGCATGAAAAACTGACACACTCTAACATCTGATAAAACGACAAGGTTCCATGCGGTATCTAAACTGTGCTTTTTGGCTTTTCTCTTGTGAACTGCAGTAGGATCATCCCTGGAGAGATTCCAGCAGTAATCAGCAAGCATGGACGGACTCCCATTTCCCTTGGTATCTTTTCTCCATGCTTGCGATTTCCGACCTAGTGGAATCTCTCCCCATGCTCATCACTCACTGCCCCACAGTTCAAAGGGAAATAGTCTAAATGCAAGTGTAAGAAGTGAATGTTTGCAGCAAGTGCTTTATAGGACCTAAGCAAATTGTCCACGTGTTTTTCATAGTCATCTGCCTTGCTGTTCCCGAGAAACTCCGTTGCCACGCACAGACGATCAAACTTGTCATCTGGGAGAAGTTCTCAAATCTGTGGATCACCAAAGATGCCTTAATTGATTTTGGCTTCACTGAGCCTTGAAAACGTTTCATAGAGATATTGGAAACCTGGTTTTGTTTTGTCCATAGCCTTCACAAAGTTCTTAATCATCCCCAGCTTTATATGCAACGGTGGTAACAAAATTTTCTGAGAGTCAACAAGAGCTGGATTTTGAACATTTTTCTTTCCTGGCTCCCAGGACTGTCGTGATGGCTAGTCTTTCTTGACATAATGAGAATCTCTGGCTCGACCCATTCACAGAGGACTTAGTTTTATTGGATGGAGTACATGGAATCCTCTGAAGGCTGGGCCTTGTTAATATGGTCTCTTTCTAGCTGATTAGCAGTTGGAGCTTAGTATGCGGGTGATCCTGCAGGGGTTCTCCCTTGCGTCCCTATTTTTTTTTCCTCTCCTATCCTTCTTCCCTTCTTTCATCCTTTTTGCTTTTTTGTTTTATCCCACCTGGATGATCCTTTGGGCAGTTCACATTGGATTGCCCATCACTGATTATAATATCACTTACCATATTACAATCAATTTATTATTGTATATCTACCAATTTCTTGTTTTTTTTATGTACTTTTTTTTTTTGACTTATATGATGCATGATTGACTCGCTCAGGGTACCTTGATCCTGTTTACTATGTCTCATAGTCGCAGTCAGGTCTTTTACGGATTAATCTGATGTGAAACACTGATCTCAATGTATCTCTTCTGATAATTTCATTTAATGTTCTCAATACCTTGTTCTGTTTTTTGCTTATACTGAAAATTTTCGATTTATAAATAAAGAATTAAAAAAACAAAAAACTTAAGAACATTCTCACATAAAGAATTTACATTGAGTTTTGCTGGACTATGCGGATAAATACACTCCATAAACAAGCCAGTGCTGAATGATAGCATTCAGCAGCAGTGCCACACAGGTTTTAGATAGTTCACCCTGCTCTCTTTGTAGCAGTTATTTGTGTAGATGAGTGTCTAAATACCAATCCCAGCTGTGAAACAGTATTGTAGTCATAGAGAACAGCGTGTGTAACATCATGGGTAACCTTGAAAACTGGTCAAGAAACAGGTTCGTTTCTAGTGTCCTTCTTTGTCGGGACCAGGTGGCATGCTTATAGTTACATAATAGAAAAGGGTGGAAAAAGACACAGCTCCATCCAGTTCAGTCTATGGAAATGTGTATGTATTTTTTCTTTGGTTTATGTGTAATGTGTATCCTTGCAAGGTAGACATCTAAAAGTTTTATGAATTGTCAATACTCCCAGCTGACACCAATGCTTGGGAAAGGAAGTTCCACAGTTTTGCTGCTCTGACTGTAAAGAACCCTTTCAAAAAATTTCAAATTAAACCGCCTTTCCTCCAAACTCTCTTTTGTATAATATTCAGCATTGAATTGGTTACATTAATCCATTCCATTATGATTGTTCTACTGCTACACCTAAAACAGGGAAGTGTCACATCAACTTCTCGTATTCAAAAATGTATATTGCATCTTATTATAAATAAATAAAATTCCCATAAACATTGGTATAGTGGCAGGTGTTGAAGGCAAATTAATAACAAATAGTAATAAAAGAAACTGAAAATAAAAAGCTGGATGAAGCATATGAAAATGTGAATGTTCTGAAAGTTGTTTTATTTGATTTTTAATTCATTTATAAAGGTTGTAAATAACACAATAGTGCATAAAAGCATATGGGTGGAAATAATCCAGACAACAGGGCATCTTTTTTGTTCCTAAGGTTACTAAGTGGCTATTACACTGCTCTATATTTTTTTCATTCAACACGCAGGCTGAAGGAAAAGCATAGAGCAGATTTCTCCATCATTGATCAAGGAATCCACACTGTTTCCTTTGTATTTTGACAACAGCTGCCAGATTACCTGAACAGAGGCGGCAGCTCAATAGCTGCCGGTTTCGTTTCTATGAATATTTTCCGACTGGCTCCTTCAATCCGGTGATCGAGGAATGCTAGCTGAAAAAGAGTGCTGACAGCGGCACCCACTGTGTGAATTTCCTCAAGAATCGGATCGGTGTATAATAATGGCCATCTTAACTCTTGGAAGGGTTACACTTTTGTTTTTTACAGTAATGGGGTTCTACACACTCTGCCTTATCTACTTTTTTGTGCTCTAATTTCAGGCACATTCCATGCTCAGGAATGGTTATCCACTTTGTTTGATTTTGTGTGCCAACATCTGCAGAATAACTGGCTCCCTTATGATCTCCTTGGTCCCTGTGGCCAGAAGTTAGAAAATAAACAAATAACATTCCTTGACTGTGGTTTGGTAAGTGGATGGTAACTTCTATTTGCTAGTTTATTTGATTAGGAACTTTATCTATGTTTCATATATTCATGCAATAAAGTCTTATATAAAATCCTTTATATTTTAAGATAAACATAAATAAGCTTGGTGTGTAAATGTTTAAAAACCTTGTTACCTGTATAATTGTATATGCATGGGCGTAGTCATATTTCACATTACATCTCTCCCTCGATAGATAGATATCTATGTGCATTTGTAAAACAACCAAGGTTGACTAAATATTTCTGAAAATTGACTGATGTGACTGGCTCAGTGTTCTCTGTACAGGACTGCGATATATGTCAGAGCTATATAAATGTACAATAATAGTGTGCGACTAAGGGGGGACATTCGAGTGTAAGCTCCTCCTCTGTACAGAGACTGATGTGACTGGGGCTGCAACAACTAATCGACTAAGTCGATTAAAATCAATGATGGAAAATGTTGTCATCATTTTCCATCATCGATTAGTCGGCTTTCTTTCTTTTCTGATCTCTCTCCCGCTACTGCCCACCGAAATTATCACGTCGTTGCAGGGAGACTGCAGCGCGGGGGAACGGCAGCTGCCGACAGTCTCAAGATCTAAGGGGAAGAAAGTAAAGTTGCTTGTAGAGTGTGCAGCTAAGACTGCCGGCACTCCTCCCGCAACATGCTGTATGAATGTATATCCTCTATAGCTGATGGTGTATTGCACTGTATATGTACCGTCAGCTATAGAGGACTACAAATCCCAGCAATACATTATACACTGTATATATAATGTATTGCTGGGATTTGCTGTATTCCTCTATAGCTGGTGGTATTCTGCATTGTGCTGTATAGTATTATTGCTGGGATTTGTAGTCCTTTATAGCCGGTGCCATTCTGCATTGATTGCTGTATAATGTTACATTTTCCATTTCACTATATTGCCCACCCCCCTTCTTTTTTTTTTTTTTTGCTTCCACCGCTCCAAGCTTGACTGATGTGACTGGCTCAGTGTTCTCTGTACAGCACTGCGATATATGTCAGAGCTGTATAAATGTATAATAAGCCCTCATTGACACTGTAATCGGATGGCTCCGTGCAGGGCCGTACCAAGCAGCTCGCGGGAAGGACAGGTGTTGTGTGTGATTAGTATGCAGCCCCAATACTTCTCTATGGGACTACGCGGCCCTACACTCACCCGCCTTGCACGTCCGTGCGGGTGACATACTCGTACGCAGACAGAATGGACGCCGTCAGGCATCTGAGCTGGAAAACACCGGTAAAACGACACATCAAGGACAAGAGTGTGGCATTTTAAAAATATAAGATGAAGGGGACAGCATTGGCATTCAGGAACTACAAAGAATGTAATAAAATATGTAAACAGGAACTTCGGGCAGCAAAAATAGACTGTGAAAAGCATATTGCCACAATCAGTAAAAGGAACCCCAAAAAAGTATACCAATATATAAACCGTAAAAAGGTAAGAAAAGAGCAGATAGGCCCAATAAAGGATGGAAAAACGGGAGATTAATCACAAACAACAGGGAGAGGGCCGAAGTGTTAAATATTTTTTTCTCCTCAGTATACTGTACACTCAGGAAACATATGTGTTTAATGTAGATAAGAATGTGAGTGGCTCATTGCAAAATATACCACAGTGGTTGACGGTAGTCGGGGTTTAAAAAAACAAAGACTTGAAAAACTTAATGCAAATAAAGCATTAGGACCGGATAACCTGCACCCCAAGGTACTTTAAGAACTCTGTTATGGAAATTAATATACGCTCCTGCGCATTAAAATCCGCTGCGCTAAAAAGCACAGTTCTCAGCTCTCTGCATTGAGCAGCTCTGTTTGAGCAGCTCATCGGTCCCAAGGAAACACAGACACTACCTGTTGTCACATTGGATCCTCAGTATCCGACTCCCTGAATGAATGGAGTGAGATCCTTTTATTTATAGCACACAAAAGGAATTAACATAACACAGAGTCAGCCAATCAGACACATGTATACACAATAGAAAGGGGAGTATATGCTCGTGCATGTGAAACATACCGTGCATAGCTCTCAGCTGCTCGTGCCTGTGAATTACGTGCCGACTAGTTAACAATAGAAAACCATGTGCTCTGGAATTCCCGCCAACACACTACACTAAGGAACCGCGACGCCGATCCAACGAGACCCGCGCATATACTCCCGCCACTGGAGCAAATTCTACCAGGCATTGTTCAGTGAACAATGCCTAGCAGGATTATGCTACGGTTCTTATGAATGCAAGATTATCTGCAGGGACAACGGCATATTATTTCCAGTGCGTTGATCAGACGCACCAAAAAGATACGAGTATATGTTACTTTCATATACCACGTCCTCAAAGCAGATATATCCACGGCAAGCGAATAAATCCACGCATTACGCAGGGGCCCTTGTCGGCGTCCATACACTCGCTAAGAGGACACCACTTTAGCACATTCATTTCCCCCGCCAACCGCCCAGCACATGTACCATTCGCCGGTGGAGATCTTTTTACACAGTGGTCTCTTCTCCCCATACACAGGAAGATATCTACTCCAATGGTTTACACTCAGTGCTGATTAATCCCAGCCATGCTCCATAGAGCATAGCCAAGCAACCCTGCCACTGAGAGACATAATGACAATATTCACATATACAATATACTAAAAACACATCCTAATAAAATTTCCACAACAAGACCAGTCTAACATCAATGGTATGCAAACTGTTAGAGGGAATGATAAAAGACTACTTAGTAGAGTTTGTTCACAAAATGGTATAATAAATGATAATCAGGATGGATTTAGGAAGGACCGTTCGTGCCAGATGAACCTACTGACATTCTACGAAGAGGTAAGTAGAGATCTGGATGGAGGCAGGCCGGTGGATGTGGTATATCTGGATTTTTTGAAAACATTTGACACAGTACCACATAAACGCTTACTACACAAGCTGAGGTCTATGGCCAAAGATAAAATGGTGAGTACGTGGATAGAGAATTGGCTACAGTGCCCAGAGAGTATCAATAAATGGCTCTTTTTCAGATTGGTCTAAGGTCGGGAGTGGCGTGCCCCAGGGTTCTGCGCTAGGCCCCATATTATTCAACCTGTTTATTAACAATATCGGGGAGCTGATGATACTAAAATCGGGAGGGTAATAGACACGGACTTAGACACTATAACATTACAGGAGGATCTGGTTAAAATAGGGGAGTGGGCAATTATTTGGCAGATGAGGTTTAATGTTGATAAATGTAAAGTAATGCACTTTTGGGTTAAAAATAGTCAAGAGGAATACACATTAATGGGAACTCCACTAGGGAAGTCAGAAATGGAAAAAGATCTGCGGGTCATAGTAGACCACAGATTGAATAATGGCTTGCAATGCTAGGCTGCTGCAAACAAAGCGAGCAGAGTACTATCTTGTATTAAAAAGGAATGTACTGTAGAGACATATCTATAATTTTGCCACTTTATCAATCACTGGTTCGACCTCATCTGGAGTATCGCGGTCCAGTTTTGGTTACAAGTCCACAGAAAGGATGTCCTTGAGCTGGAGAGAGTCAAGAGAAGGGCAACTAAACTAATTAAGGGGATGGAGGACAAAAGCTATGAGACAAGGTTACTAAATTTAAACATGTTCACGCTGAAAGTGAGGAGATTACAGGGGGACATGATTTTGATGTACAAGATGTTCAATGGGGATAGCAACATCAGCAATAAACTTTTTACGGTAAACTCCATAACGAAGACTAGAGGCCACCACCTAAAATTGGTGGAGAAAAGATTTAACCACAAGGCGCTTCTTCTCAGAGCGGCTAGGGTCTGGAACTCACTGCCACAAGCAGTGGTATCAGCTGAGAGTGTTCAATCATTCAAAAAGCATTTGGACAATTTCCTCAGAGACAAGATCATACAAGAAATCATACACACGCATACACATGCATACACATGCAGAATCCCATACATACACGCAATAGGTGGAACTTGATGGACCTGTGTCTTTATTCAACCTCAAATACTATGTAACCGACGAGCCAGGTCCTATTCCCAGGCTGCAAAGGAGTACTACGGCTAAAGCTGTCTTAATCCAATAAGATACCATAGATCTGAGACATTAGATGGGTGGGAGCTTTAGACTAGAAGCAAAGGACCTCAAATGGAGAAAGATCCCTACATAATGGTTCTGTCCTGCGCATACAAGCAAAAGAATTCCTCAGCTGAAAAAAGTAGAGCCATTGTCCTGAAGAAGGGGGATCATCTTTCCTAAGATCCATAAACTGCTGGAGGTGCCCATAACACAAAAGAGAGAGACTCCGTGGTGAGCAAAAAAATAGAGGGGCCTGTAGTCCCGGCAGAAAGGCCAGATTACCAAGTGCAGGGTCATTGAGCCATCAGAGGAAGAGAGCGAGAAATGATGAAGCAACTAATCCTAGACACGCATACGTGTGGAAATGCAGATAGGAAGGGAAGAAAGAGGGGGCTGGTGTTGGGGCAGAACCCAAGGTAGAGAGGCAAAGAGAGGGGACACAAGGCTAGAGTTGAGACTCGCCCTTGCCATGAAAAATTAAATCTGTCACATGGGTCAATAGGGCAGATTAATAAATACTCTTCGAGATGAGGAAGACTAAGTTCACCAAACTGCCTGCGGCAGGCAAGAGTATCAAACTTCAGCCGAGGGAGAGAATGAGACCAGAGACTGATCAAGACCAATTTCATTTTAGCAAAGAAGGATTTGGGTACAGAAATTGGGAGTGCCTGAAAGAGGTACAAAAATCAGGGAAGAGCCCCACGAGCCAACCATCAGTGTCATTTGGAGGCTCATTCCCTAAGTCTACTAAGTTAGCTCTGTAGGAGAGTTAGATAATATAAGGAGTAAAGCCAGGATAAATCCGAGGAGATATGGATTACCAGATACTTGATAAAGTCCAATATCCACTGAAAGGAAAAAGAGGCGGAAAGAGATTCTTGTTTGTGCCATCGATTTAGTAGTATTCACTTTAAAGTAGCTGAGCTGGCCAAACAACCTAAATTCATGCAGTTTCCAGAAAGCGACACCAAAGCAAAAGATCATCAGAATAAAGGCCAGTCTTGTGATGGTGATCCCCCATGACTAGATCATTAATGGAAGCATTAGTCTTCAGTGTAATGGTAAGATGTTTGATGCCAAAATATAGAAGGGAAACCTGTGGCCATTGATGTGAATGCGAGCTGAAGGGCAGGTGCTAATGCTCACATTTAGAAATTAATAAATAATGGAAATCACATGGTCTGATTTAATAGGGGTAAGTTATCGAAAGCTTTGGGGGTGTACGTCTCCTTTTCATCAACACCAAAAAAAGGGACCTTTAACCTCTTAAAGACCAGGTGTTTACACCCCCTTCCCGGCCAGGCCATTTTTCAGTATTAAGCGCTGCAGTACTTTGACATTTTATCCGTCATACAATGCTGTACTGAAATTAATTTTATACCATTTTTTTGGGACAAAGAGAGCTTTCTTTTGTTTTTGTTTTTTACATTGTTATAATATAAAAGACATTGTAAAATATAAAAGACGGGGTCACGTCGGGTAAATAGACACCAAACATGTCAAGCTTTAAAATTGCTCGCACCCGCGAAATTGCAAAAAATGACCATACCCAAAATTGACCATAGGCGACGATTTAAAAGCTTTTACCGCTCATCAGTTTAGTGTTATCAGTGATTGATGGCCCTAAAATGATTGCTCACACTCCGACGTTTGTGGCGATACGCAACGCGCAGAGCAATTGTCGTTTTCGCGCGCTGACACATCTAACTCATATTTACGTTTATATGTGCGTAAAGGTGGGGGTGGGGGACTTACACGTTTTGGGTTTTTTTTTACTTTTTTTTTATGTGACTTATTTTTTTTTAATTATTTATATATATATATATATATATATATATTTT